CAGTTAGGAGAGGAGCAGATGAGGAGCAGGGAGAGCGGGACGGGGTGTATGGGTGGAGGAAGTTACTCGGGTATGAGGAGGCCAGGTTTTGGAGCGTTTGAATGTTTGATCCTAGTGCTAGCCAAACGTTCTAATAAAACTGTGAGAGATGGTATCAAAGGCAGCACTGAGGTCAAGGAGGATGATAATTATGAGAAAGCCAGAGTCAGCTGCTGTTAGATCGTTTGTATTTATGACCAGTGTGGTTTCTGTTTAGGGTGGAATCCAGATTGGGAGGGCTCAAACATTTTGATGTGGAGAAGATGGTCCTGAACCTGACGTGCAACTGTGCGTTCCAGTAATTTGGCAGTGAAGGGGAGATCGGAATTGGGACGGTAGTTGTTAAAATGTTGAGGATCAGAGCCAGTTTTCTTGAGCAGAGGTGTGACTGAGGCAGTTTTGAGAGGTGGGGTAACTGTACCGGAGGACAGAGAAGAGTGTAATATGGTTGTAGGAAAATGGAAGAGTGTTGGTGCACAGGATTTAAGTAGAGCTGTCGGTAGTGATTGAAAGTTTCTGATGGATTGGTGAGCCCGTGGACAGTAGAAAATACAGGCCACTCCTCTCTACAGCATTTGTAACTACTCCTAGAATGCCTTGGGTTTTTTGTACTGATGAGAATTTGGATGACAGTTTAAATGAGAAATTATCTGTGAGGAACTTCATTAGCAGACAGAGGGAGGGTTATGCCAGTAGGGACATCCACTCTTAAAAAAAATACACAAACTCAAAAAGTATAAAGATTCAAGTGGGGAATACACAGACTGTGCCCTAGTAAGCTGTTTAAAAGGCGAATTGAGCTGCTGAGGTCCTTAAGCTGTTGCATATATAAAGAGTCAAACCCAAAGCAAGGCAAGTTTATTTGTATAGCACAAACCATACACAGAGCAAGCCAAAGAAGTGCTTTACAAAACAAGAACAAAAAATGTTAAAACCTTACAACAAGTTAAAGTATATATAATCACAATACAGTCATTAATATAAAATAATACATTTTCCAAATTTTTCAGTTCTATAAAAGATCAGTTTTTAACCTTGATTTGAACATTGTCAGAGTAGAATCCCGGCTCACACTTTCAGGAAGGCGGTTGCAGATTTTAGCTGCATGACTCTGAAACGCTGACTCTGGGACCAGCAGGAGACCAGATGGTCCATGTGGCACTAATGCAGATTTATTTATTTATTTATAGTTTATTTGGTTGGGACAAATCCCCCCGTCACGTCCTCTGTTACAGAGGCAGAGGCTGAGGATGTTGGGGCGGATACATCCATCTCCCTGGCTGAGGTCACCAAGGTGGTTGGTAGCCTCCATGGTGGCAAGGCTCCGGGTGTGGATGAGATCCGCCCTGATTATCTAAAGTCTCTGGATGTTGTAGGACTGTCTTGGCTGACACGTCTCTGCAACGTCGCGTGGCGATCGGGGGCAGTGCCAATGGAGTGGCAGACCGGGGTGGTGGTCCCTCTCTACAAGAAGGGGGACCGGAGGGTGTGTTCCAATTATCGTGGGATCACACTCCTCAGCCTCCCCGGTAAGGTCTACTCCAAGGTACTGGAGAGGAGGCTACGGCCGATGGTCGAATCTCGGATCCAGGAGGGGCAGTGTGGTTTTCGTCCCGGTCGCGGAACACTGGACCAGCTCTATACTCTCCATCGGATACTCGAGGGTTCATGGGAGTTCGCCCAACCTGTCCACATGTGTTTTGTGGATTTGGAGAAGGCGTTTGACTGTGTTCCCCGGGGTGTCCTTTGGGGGGTTCTCCGGGAGTACGGGGTCGGGGGTCCTCTGTTGAGGGCCATCCGATCCCTGTATGACCGGAGCCAGAGCTGTGTTCGCATTGCCGGCAGTAAGTCAGACCTGTTCCCGGTGAATGTTGGCCTCCGACAGGGCTGCCCTTTGTCACCGGTTCTGTTCACTGTATTTATGGACAGAATCTCTAGGCGCAGCCAGGGGTCGGAGGGGGTCCGGTTCGGAGACCACAGGATTTCATCTCTGCTGTTTGCGGACGATGTTGTCCTGTTGGCTCCAACGAACCAGGACCTGCAACATGCACTGGAGCGGTTTGCAGCCGAGTGTGAAGCGGCTGGGATGAGAATCAGCACCTCCAAATCCGAGGCCATGGTGCTCGACCGGAAAAAGGTGCCTTGCCCTCTGCAGGTGGGTGGAGAGGTCCTTCCTCAAGTGGAGGAGTTCAAGTATCTCGGGGTCTTGTTCACGAGTGAGGGAAGAATGGAGCGTGAGATTGACAGGCGGATCGGTGCAGCGTGTGCAGTGATGCGGTCGCTGTATCGGACCGTTGTGGTAAAGAGGGAGCTGAGCCGAAAGGCAAAGCTCTCGATTTATCGGTCAATCTTCGTTCCCTCCCTCACCTATGGTCATGAGCTTTGGGTAATGACCGAAAGAACGAGATCGCGGATACAAGCGGTCGAAATGAGCTTCCTCCGCAGAGTGGCTGGGCGCTCCCTTAGAGATAGGGTGAGGAGCTCAGTCACACGGGAGGAGCTCGGAGTAGAGCCGCTGCTTCTCCACGTCGAGAGGAACCAGTTGAGGTGGCTCGGGCATCTGTTCCGGATGCCTCCTGGACGCCTCCCTGGGGAGGTGTTCCGGGCACGTCCCACCGGGAGGAGGCCCCGCGGAAGGCCTAGGACACGCTGGAGGGACTATGTCTCTCAGCTGGCCTGGGAACGCCTTGGGGTCCCCCCGGACAAGCTGGAGGAAGTGTGTGTGGATAGGGAAGTCTGGGCGTCTCTGCTTAGACTGCTGCCCCCGCAACCCGGCAACGGATAAAGCGGAAGAAAATGGATGGATGGATGGATGGTTAGGACAATACATGTTAATGAACACATCACTCCGGATTGTAGCCATTGGCTAATTTGCATCCGTTGTCCCACATTCGCACTCACAAACACACACTCATTCACCCTGAACTATTGCACAAGTTTTTAGTGGTAGGTGAAACCGGAGTACCCGGAGGAAACCTATGCAGACACGGGGAGAACATGCAAACTCCACTCAGAAAGGCCCTGTTCCGACCGGGATTCGAACCCAGAACCTTCTTGCTGAGAGGCGAGAGTGCTAACCACTCAGCCACCGTTCATTATAGGCCACTAACTGTATACTTTACAATAAATGTAAATGCATGTTTTATATTCAGCTAAAATTTGTGAGTAAATGTTTTTAATCTCAAAATATATAACAACTAGTTATGTTGTTTGGTTTGCCATTTTCTTCTTGTACTTACTGTTCTTGTATCCATGTGTTCTGCAACACTGGCATTCACAACTGTGGGACAAATAAACAGAAAATACAATCAAAGTCTTCAGGGATTCCATTCATCAACACTTATTTGAGAACTTTTTTTCCCTTCAGTAGGTTACTTCCAGTCTTCTGAGTGGACACATGTGCCCTGTGCCCATCTGACTGAGAAAACAACATGTGGTTTTGCACTGAGGAGTTTGGAGGCAGAGACGGGTTGCTAAGCAACGAAAGCAGGGCAATTCCCTGGACAGGTGGGAGGGACGAAACACAGCCACACCTGCTGTTAGCACACACACACACACACTTGGAACAGATGAGTCTGACGCCTCTTGAACTCACCTGTTCTGCGCCTAATTACACAAAAGTAAGTAAGTTAGTAAGTAAGTTTTTATTTATATACCGCCTTTTCACTGCAGATCTGAGTCTCAAAGCGGTTTACAATTGTTAATTTTGGGCATTTGTCTCTCACTCCACACAGAGATGGGAGCGGGGTCGCCAGTACAGGAGGCGCATGCCAGAACTATTGGACATATTTTTAGTGGTAGGGGAAACCGGAGTACCCGGAGGAAACCTACGCAGACACGGGGAGAGCATGCAAACTCCACTCAGAAAGGCCCTGGTCCGACCGGGATTCGAACCCAGGACCTTCTTGCTGAGAGGCGAGAGTGCTATCCACTCAGCCACCGTGCCGCCCCAAAAACAAAGTTTATTATTTTGTTTATTATAAAAATCACCTCATTACAGACAAGTGGAATTGATTTTCTTTCCCGCGCTCATGCTTTCCCATTTATTCTTATTATTTCAATAATATCTATAATGTTTTTAGGGCAATGTGAGACCACCATTATTATCACAGCAATATTATTTAACAGTAACTGTGTGCTTCAGGGTGATTTGTCAAGAAACCGTAAACTATTACAACTTTAAATATTTTTTTTTTAAAACGGAATAATGTGAAAGTTGCCTACAGAAGTAAACACAAGAGACGTGTGATAACCATCCCAAGATTTGTTACAAACCATATTTAATACATCTGAACTCACCTACAAAAGACATAAACCCACCGGGATTTAAAGTTAGAAGCTTCAAGTAGTCCTATTTTAAGGATTATCATTATCTTTTGTGGATACCAGCAGTTCCAAGTGAGAGAAACAAGTTGAGAAAGGCGCGATGGGAGTGGCATGTGGATTAGGATCATGGAGGGGGAATACTGTGCTGGTGTTATTGGTTTTTGTGGCTGCACATCTTGTGTGCGGGTACTGTTTCTAGAAAGCTGATAAATTGTAAGAATAGGATAAGGAAGAGACAAGCAGACTCAAATTGAAAATGACATTCTGAATAGAAAGAACAAACCATCTGTAACCCATAATCGTAACTTTTAATGATTAATTATTTATGTTCGCGCACGGTCGTAATGTCTCGCCCCCTCCTTTTATAGATTGAATTATCTCCGTTTCATAAGACAATACAAAAGAGGTCTCCGTTAGAAAGTTTGAGAGCGGAGCGTGCATCCACAGCCCCCTCCCCGCGCTGTGGGGTGGGACTTGGACCGCAGACGCGCACCGATGGCGGTTGTGTTTGCCTGAGGAGACCGAGCAGCGCTGAGGATTTGTGGATGCTCGACTGGATTCCCCATGTGGCTTTGGCTGGACGTATAACGACTTAAACTATGGATTATTCTGTTGGAGTACTTTTACTTCTCGCCATGTTCTCAGTGTCGTCAGGGCAATTCCCAACTGCGCATATGTAAGTACTGCCTACTGTTGCTGGGATGCAAAAGTGACATACGCTCAAAAAGCAGCTAGGTTATTATTAGGACCTGTTACTTCTCCCGTTATAAAAAACGTATTTCCATTATTATTATTTTTCATCTTGTGTTTTTTTCCTCTTCACTTCAATCTGTTGGCTATTAGTCTGTTATCAGTGCGTTCAATCTAACTGTTACTTGAGAAACAGTTTTGTAGCTCTCATTTGGCTCTGTGCTACAACTTGAGCTTGTGAATAGTTATATTTAGGCCACCGTCCATGTGTGGTTCGTTCCCAGAGGACATGTGGTTAACTGCCTGTCATGTGAACTATTCCAGTTTGATAGAGCACCCAAAAGACCTCCAAAGGTTCCCACCAGCAGACATCTGTCATATAACAGCAAACTTCATGGGACAAAATCAAACCTTACTCAAACTATCGTTTTGTGTGAATATTTACGTATACTTATATGTATATTATTTTACAGTGCTTTCACAGATATTAAAATTGACAAAAAGTAGGGTATATTAGTGATGTGAAAGAGGTTGTAGACTATTGCACATGTGGGGTGGCCTTATCTGTGCCCATTTGGCAGTTATACTCAGACAGTTCAGATATCACAAGATCAGTCAGAATCTGACTCCCAAATCTATATTTGCCCTTTGCTACATGAATAGATACAGCATACGATACTAGTACAGTCACACTCACATATATATTTGTATGTCCATAACCAGGGCCTGACATGATAAAAAAAGAAGAAAAAAATATACAAAGATGTTTTTTATTGTATTAAATGATAATATTGAAAAGGTTTAGTGGGACTGGTGCCATTATGATACAGGAGAATTATAGTATAACGCTAAAGTATAGTATTACACTTACAATGAAATATCTTCTCTGTTCTGTAAAGAAAATGTACATTCAAAAATATTGCTTTTGAACGACATAATAGTTAGTGAAATCGATACAGTAATTATTGTGACAAGCTTCTCATACTGCCCTAATCTCGCGCCTCACACTTGTGGATGAATGTAACAAATGAACTGCATTTGGTTTGTTTGAAGCCCAGTCCCTACAGTGATGGTAAGCCATGATGGCACTCAGCCTAATGGCCAGGGCTATGATGTCAGACTAGAGGAGTAGCCTGCCCACTCCCTTTATTTTATGGGCACTAAGTGGATTGATCTTGTGGGTTGTGTACATAATATTCACACAGGCTGGATATGAAGCTCATACTTCCTGGTGCTGTGTGTCTACATCTGTGAACTGGTCCCCTGGATAAGATGCTGTGAAACTGAGAACACTGCATTATTGTGATACTATATTCCTCTATTGTGACATTCCATTTTATTGGACATATAGGCGTATACTGGCAACCGCTTACTTCAGAGGACATATTGGAATTGGATATAGGCCTCTTTCGTGTCATAAAGATGGAATGGTATTAAAGTGTTTTTGCTGCAATGATTTCCAGTCAGATATGATACATTTTAGTGACATGATTGTGAGCGACAAGGTTCATGGTGAGTCCTGAGGGTGTAAGTGACAGAGAAATATTAGAAGGGCAGAAAATGAGAGAGTGACCCAGGATGGCTCCCTTCAGCTGTTAAAAGGGGATAGACCAAAAGAGTGTTACAACTGTACTTCCTCGTCGTTTTATTTGTCAAAGTTTAATTTTGATTAATGCCTGAGAGTAACCCTCTATCTTGTGATAAGGAGACTCGTGTTTATCAAATCACGGTTTCCCCTACACACATCCCTGTTCTGAGTTGAGATTATTTGAACATCTAAGACTAAATGGTATATGGTGACTTTTCATGGAGCTCTGACGTTCAAAATGATTTTTAAGGGAATATATGTATCTTTGTCCTTTCTAGTATACCCCATTATTAGAAAGAATTAATTTGCATGTGTCATCTCCTAATAGTTGATACTGCTCTATCATACATTTGTAGATAATTAATATTTGTGTTGGGGAGTAGATACATTTTTACATGAATTGTATGAATAAACTTTGTCTGATGAAAGACATTTGGTGGATACCATGCTTACATTAATAACAACAAAATTGCTTCATTGAATTGAGTGTAGTATGTGTGTGTGTGTGTGTGTGTGTGTGTGTGTGTGTGTGTGTGTGTGTGTGTGTGTGTGTGTGTGTGTGTGTGTGAATGATTGGTGCTGATTGGAGTGGTTAATGGCACAAAATGGTCGCCTTGCTTCTGGTAGTCTGGCCCAAGGCAGCTGTGGCAACTGTTGTACTTTACCACCACTCTGTATCGAGAGAATGAATAATGTCATGTGAAAAGCCTTAAGCGCTTAAAATAACTTGCATTTTCTTGAAACAATGAAAATATATTTGACATTATTCAATCAAGTTTGTGTAAGCTGTCGTACAGGGATTTGTCAAAGCAAAGGAAGGTTTCTCACCCATTAGCAGGTTTCTCACCCATCAACCTGCTAAGAAGTACACCCATCAACCTGCTAAGAAGTACACCCATCAACCTGCTAAGAAGTACACCCATCAACCTGCTAAGAAGTACACCCATCAACCTGCTAAGAAGTACACCCATCAACCTGCTAAGAAGTACACCCATCAACCTGATAAGAAGTACACCCATCAACCTGATAAGAAGTACACCCATCAACCTGCTAAGAAGTACACCCATCAACCTGATAAGAAGTACACCCATCAACCTGATAAGAAGTATAGATGATGGCTGAGAAACCTTCCTTTGCATTATTCAATCAAATAAGGAAATATCTATATAAAGCACTTTAAGACATTAGGCATACCACTTACATCCCTCCAGCTGTGTTTGTACATTTTAAAGTTTGATGTATATTTGTTTTAAATTTTCTTCTGTAAAAAACATAATGTCATATCTTTGAATACGATTGAAACCCACTCCAAGAAGTCTAATCCTGACATTTCAAAAGACATATAATGGAAAGAGCAGGTTTCCCGTCTATTTTAGTTCTATTGTAACCAGATCTGCTTTGCAATACACATGGCCCACATTCTTGTAATAGTTAGAATTAGAAAATACATATTTGGCGTACTGGCATTGCTTCTGCAGTATGTACATTATTTACTTTAATTCAAGATTCAAAGATTTCCTCCTTTTTGCATGCATCTGACATGGCTAAATGTATCTTGGAATATTTTTTGGAGCCTGTCAGCTTGTGTAAGCTTCAAAGACCTTGCCCCCTCTTTGTCCCTGTCCCTTGACAATCTATGCTAACATCTTCCTTGTGCGTCTTGTCCATCTTCACATTGCCCTGCATTTATAATGCCTCTCTCATTGTTCCTTGTGGCCTAAAGGCAGATGATTAACATCATCAAATCTGGAATGCCTGATGTCACAGACTTTGTCCTGGAGATCTTGGCTCTTCTTGTGCCGAGAGTTCAGGAGATGAACATGTATTTATTTCAGTGTACTCCATGTTATTACTGATTTTCTATTGCAGAGCTCTGCAACATAATGTCACTGATTCAACAGAATTTTAAAATAGTATAATAGAAAGCAAAGATGTGTATCATTGTATAAAAATGTGCATCAGAATCAATGAACCGTAAGTAATCATGGAGAATTTGATACAAAAAACATATAGTGTTTGTTGCAGCCGTATTGTTTTCTTTTTCAGTCACATAGTAGTAGTAGTAGTAGTTATATCTTAAGTAAAAAGTAAATCTCTGTATATTTTTCTTTCGCTTACTTTTCTACACAGGAAACAGTAGTCTCAGTCTTACAGTGCGTTATAGTGACTCACAACCCAGTAAAACAAATCCCAGAGAGTTTCCATTACACAGCTTCCTGGTGGGTGGGGGGTAGGGAATGGCTACCAGCTGTTTTGTTATGCATTATGGGAAGTGTAGTGTTTGTGATTTGTACAATATTGGTCCTGGCTCCTGGTTCTAAGTTTTTGGATTTGTTTATCTGAGTGCTGGGAAGAGCATGTGTGCAGCTGTCACAGGGAATATTCTCTGTGCAGTGCTGCTACAACAGTAGTAGTCTTTTGTGGGGGTATGAGACTGATGTTAATGTTTTTTTAGCTAAGGGCGTCTGTAATCTCCCATACAAACTCAGTCTGACACAAAGTTTTGCATCACAAATTCAGCGAGTAACATGGTTGGACCAATGGTAACTCAATGGTTCATTTTAACACATGAGGAAGTAAGTGCGACCAAAAGCATAAAAAAAATACAATGGTATCTGTTATCTGCAGAAGTAATTGTTTAACTATTTTAGTTATTGGCTGAGAACGTATTAGGATTTATCATATGGGGCAGCCAATGTTGATTAGCCAATTATGAAGCTATTTGTTGTTTTGAATACATTTAAGACAATAGAATTTAAATGCCATTGTGAGGACATTTTCCTTCAGATAATCATTTATTATGCATTCCTTGTCTATTTTCTCTAAAAGCTAAGTCGTGGGAGTTGGTAGGTTTCATATGTTTAAAGACTTATTAACGTATTAGGTACATTTGCACTTTTCTATAATAGAGATGAAATGCACACATGCTGATATTGGATATTGCTGGTGCCGAATCGGACGATTGTTGGAATAGACAATAATTATTTTTAAGGTCATAGAGTTTTAAAATGTACTCATACAAAGTTGTTCTTTATTTGCTTGCATTATGGAACAGTATCAAATACAATTGGTTATGGTCAATAGGGCTGTCATCAACCAAAGACATTGGACATTAGTTGACTGAAAAGAGGCTTTGGAGAATGCTCTAAAATATTCCTCACCTGACTACTCACAAAGCACAAAAAATTGACAAATAATAGCTAATATGGAATAAAAAAAAAATCGATTAATTATTTTGCATTTCATTAACATCAACAGATTGAATATTTTTTGAAAAGTTAGTCAACTAAACCCCACATTGCAATTAGTCAATTCAAAAAAAAGGAACCATTTCAGAACATAAATCTTTCAAATATTTTGGGACAAAAAATATTCATTGAAGGAAAATGCAGAAGATG